GGGGCGAGCCGACTCCGGGGGTCTCGGGCTGGAGAGCCGCGTCCCCCGCCCCGGGGCCGGGTGGTGCGCGCAGGAGGAGGACCCAGAAGCGGGCTCTGCCTGGGCTTGCCTGGGCTTGTTCAGAGCCCGGCTGCTTCCCTCAGTGACCGCGCAGATCCGGGGGGATTTCGAGATTTTGCGGGAGCCCTGCAGCCGAGCCCCGGGGAGGAGGGGGCTGGAAGCCCGCGCGACTTGCTCGCCCCGTCCCACGGTGAGCGCAGGTAAACGCTTGTGTTCTCAGTCTGTTTGAAAGTTCGTAAAGAAGGAGGCAGGAACTTTAATAATAAGAATGGGAACCCTGTTGAATTGTGTGGCCTCCGAGTCATAAGGAGAAAAATTTCCAAGAAGCAACAAAATGCTCTTTGATTCCATAATCTCTGGAGAGAGAGGATTCCTTTTCTGCGTTTTGCGTGGCTGGTGCTTTCTTTCTTCCTCGCTCTCCGTGGTGGCCGCAGGAGCGCTCACTGGTCTGGGAGTGCAAATGGGGGCTCTGGTTTTATTGCCGCTGCTTCCCCACCTACGATGGGAGCAAATACCTCGGTTTCCTGAAAGTGGGGACATGGAGACTGGCTGCCCAGGGTGGCCGTGACAGATCTCGGCCGGTATGAAAAGTCCGTGGTCGCTACAGTAATGTTAAGTCTGCCAGCTTGCATTTGAAAGAGAGGAACAGGAGAAGGGGTCTCATTCTTTCCGGTCCCTAAGGTGAACATGAGCCCTCCTCCTCTCCAACCCCTAGTGGCCAGAGCGGGGGCCAGCTGGGAGCTGCAGGTCAGAATGGAGAGTGGGTCAGCAAATGGCAGTGTGGAGGACCCCCCCCCCCTTCAGGTTAGGTGGCTGTGGCCTGATAGCAGAGACAGGACCCATGCTCCTGTGCGTTCACTATTTCTTGCGCCTGCTCGGGCACAGGGAGCAAGGGAACAGCATGGCTGTGCAGAAAGACCCAGGGCCTGTGCCCCCCGGGTATATTCACGAGGGTCTCCTGCAGCAAGGAGTGGCTGGGCTTCCTGGATTCGTGCCTTTGGAACCCTTTAGCCGATGCTGGGAGCCACATCAGGGGGGCAGAATGGCCCACTGTACGTGGGGCCAGTTCTGCCTCTGCCCCCAAGTCGGAGATGCCTTTGGGACAAAGGGCCACTCCCCTGAGTCTCGGCATCCCGGCATGTGCTTAATTAAGTGCTGTGCAGTAACCGCTGAGATGGTCGGCTGGGCAGGGGAGGGGGCGTCTGGGCAGGAGGCGAGGCTCCTGTACTTGCCAACATTCTCCTTGAGGGTCTGTCCAGGGGCAGAGGGCTGATGGGGCAGCGTCAGCGGGGACCCTGGGGCCCACTGGCATCTGCTGCCATGTGGGTTAGTGGCCTGTCTCCTGAGCGTCCCAAACTTGAGGACTGGCCAGGACTGGCCTGCTTTGCCCTGCCTATCCTGCTGTCTGTCTGGCCTCAAGGATCCCCTGGTTAACAGATGTGGCAGCCACGAGACTGTACTTTTACTCCCTACCCCATGGCCTTGGTGCACATCACTAATCAATAACCCTAAACATACACCGGTCCCCAGGTCCTTCCATCACAGCATGCTAGTGGTCGTGTAAGCTGATTGCCATCCCGGCCCTGTACCTCCCCTTGTCCCTGGGCCAGGAGGTGGAGGAAGATGAAAGTATGAACGATGTCGTGGATGTTGCCCCTGGTTGTAGGCTGCCCAGCCTCGGGCCACAGGAGGTCAGACATAGGTTCTAAGAGAATAGCTACACAGGACTCATTCATTCATTCCTTCAGCAAATATTTATTGAGTCCTTGCTATGTGCCAACATTATTTTGGCATTAGGAGTACAGCAATGAACCAAAAGGCAAATCCTTGCTTTTGTGGAGCTGATCTTCTTCTGTTGGAGGAAACAGGTGGTACCTGGACACAATGAACATTTGAAACGTTTAGGTTGTGATAAATGGTATGAAGGGGTAGGAAGGTGAGGAGTGCCAAGAAGGGGTTGTTAGTGTTGATGGGGGAGGGAGGGAGGGTTTAAGTCACTGAGGAGAAACCTGAATAGGCGAGGAGAAGGGTCTCTGGGCAGAAGGGTCACAAGCACTAAGGTCCTGTGTTTGGTGCATTTGTGAGAAATTGGCAAGAAAGCCTTTGACTCTGGAGGTGAGTGTAGCAGGTGAAGTCAAGCAGGAGCCAGATCATCCAGGGCTTTGTGTGCCCTGGGACTTAGAAATCTTACATTTTAAAATTCTGGTGATCCCAGGGTCCTGGGATCGAGCCTCTCTCTTTCACTCTGTCAAATAAATGAAATCTTTAAAGTAAATAAATAAATAAAACTATCACTCTGGCTGCTGTGTAAAGACTATCCAGAGCCAAGAGTGGTAGCAGGGAGACCTGCTGGAGGCTGTTCCTTGGGCTGGCTGGAAACCACGCAGGGGCTTGGACGGGGCTGTAGCGTGGGGCTAGAGGCAGAGGGTTGGAAGACAGAACCGACAGAGTCTACTGCTGGATGGACACGGGGAGATAGGACACACCATGGAGGAGACAAAGATGTCTCCAATGTCCGTGGCTTGCGCAGAAGGGTGAATCATTTATCGGCGAGGGGGAGCTGGCTGCAGGGTTTTATGGGGATCTGGAATTGTGTTTTGGCTCCAGTACGTTGCCTGTTGGACACCCAACTGGAGATGGTTTTGGGTGCTGGAGCCTGGAGTGTAGGAGGTTGGTCAGGGCAGGGGCATGGGTGTGACTAAGATGGTCCCTAATGCCACAAGATGGGGTGAGGTTGCTGAGGGGATGGGTCCGGTGGAGGTTTGGGGGAGAGCAGAAGGTGGAAAACAGTCATCTTGGAGAGTGGGGAGAGAATGGATAGGAGAAGGGACAGAACACTGCCTGGCATATGGCAGATACTTGATAAATACTTGTGGGATGCTTGGACGGGTAGATGCATGCATGGTTGTATGCGTGCGTAAAAAGTGGTAGGACTGGTGTGCAGAGCGGAAAGGCTGGCTGGGGGATGCAATAGGGTAGTCGATGCTCTGGAATTTCAGGGGCTCACAGGGCTGGGGAGAGGCCAAGACAGTTCTGTGGCAGTAGAAGGGTTGGGTCTGAGCTTCGGAGGGCAGCCAGGGTTCTGAGACAGTCGCAGAGCAGGGCGAGTTACATGGAAGGGGATGGCATTAGCAGAATGAGGAAGGCACGAGGTATGTTTCGAAGTCTGTTACAGGAGCTGGATTGTGGATGGCTGGAAGGTTCTTATGAAGGGAGAGTTGATGCAGCAGAATAGTGAGGCCCCCGGTGGCTAGGGGAGCAGGGGGAGCAGCCAGGGAGCCTCCCCCCCGCCCCGGCAGAGCCAAGCAGCCCAGGTGGGGCACCTGACAATACGTCCTCTGGGCTCTGTGAGGTGGGAGGTTGGGGGGCTCCCCTCCTTAGGGTGATGTGGGCACAGCCCCACCCCCAAAGCCCCCCAGCAGTTCTGGCTGAGTTTGCACTTGCTGCCTGGTCTGAGGAGGTTGCCTGCGTCTCTCATGTGAGGACAGAGAACAGAAACACCGATTTACATCAGACCTTAAGGTAGGGAGCTCCAACACCCATAGAAATCGGCACCTTTATCTTGTAGGCTGACAGTGGGGGCTGCTGGTGTGTGTGCAGCCGGGGAGGGCCGGCGGGAGCTACTTTGAATTTCAGCTTCAGTGATTCAGGAGTCCTTAGGAATGAGAGCGTTTGGTGGCTCGCCTTGGGGCTTTCCCCTCTGGGTCTGGCTGCAGATGCCCGCGGAGGCTGCGAGAGATGCCCGGGTTTGGCAGCCGGTATGGATCGGTTT